GTAGACTGCTATTATTCTAAATATTATTAAATATATATAATTTATAATTTTATAGTTATATAATGAGTTAACAGTGATCAATTTATGATGATTTATTTATATAATTTATGACTTAACTCATTAGTTTATGGTTAAGTTTTAACGAGTTTATTTATTTTTTGACCAAAAAATATTTACTGATGGTTGAATAGACACAACAGATTAAAAGTCCGATGTATCTTATTTTTGCTTTTTATTAATGATGATACATACACATTTACTTTTGGAAAGAACTCTTAGTACAATAATCAATTTGAAGTAAATAAGTTATGTAGCACTCACATGGTGGGACCTTCATAGAAAACAAATTACTTATATTAAAATTTTGAGTGGGTCCAAATTTAATTTTACTTGGCCCCAAGTACCAAAACTCCATTTCCTATCAAAACAATCACAAACAGACCCATCAATTTATGTATACATATATATATATATATAACAAAATATACATAAAAATATTTATAAATACATATATAGATGTCATTCCATATATTAAATTAATTTATTTCGCTAATATAAAAGTTCATTATCTTTTAAACCAAGAATCGTAATTTAATCGAAGATTTTATATAACAGTTCCGGAAATTCAAAAGAAAATACATATAATAATCTGAGTACGGAAGCGAAATAAAAGATTAAGCTTAACATATCTTACACAATAACTTAAAAGTACTAAACAATATCAAGGAATAAGTTTTCAAAAAGAAATACGAGAAATGAGAAAAATAAAGGAAACTATTAAACATCTAGCATCTACTCGCTGTCTTTTTATGGATCGGGCTCAGGAACCAGGTTCTCTTGATCTGAAATGGTTAAATAAGAAATAAATTACACTAACCCAGTAAGGACATCACACTACATCACCATCACAGAAGTAAAGGTTGGTAGAAAATCAAAAACTCACAAATGGAGCACAAATTTTAACCCAATATATTTATTTAAGATAAAACCATTTATCATTTTTTTTACTCTTGGAGAACCTGTAAAAACAACCTATAAAGACAATAATATCATACATATCACAATTTCATGCATAATCAGTAACATAAAATATATTATAAATCTGTATTCATTAACAATAACTGATTATCACCGTTTCTCGTTTTCACCAGCTTACTAATATCCATGGGGATCCATAAGAGTGTCCCCGCTACACGTGAACTACTTTCCTTAACAATCTTAATTCCAGGGTCGTCCCCATACCCCGTCCGGTATGAGCATACGAGACATTAAACCTCAATACCCTGTCCGGTATTAGGGTAAAGCGGGTCGTCCCCATACATCGTCCGAAATGAGCATTAAATGACCAAGTCTCCATACCGTCCGGTATGAGATAACATTCATGGTAGGGTTCCCTATAAACCCAGTCCGTCCACCATCTCTCAAGATATCTAGTGAGGCTGTCACCTTATTTGTTTTTCCTTAGTCTCCGTTACCAAGTTGAATATAATCACATATACAGTAAACATGCACCCGGTAATACAATCATATCGTAAATTTCAAAATCACACAGTGGTCAAATAAGGCAGTAATACATGCATTTAAAACCATAGAATAGATAGACCAGATACCATAATGTATTTAAATTGTAAAATAAATCAAGCAGGTATCGACAGAGAATAATGTCCGGTTTGAACTCCATTAGCAACCTCAATTAATTATACATATCTACTTAATTTGTACAAAATACAATATTATCATTTATTCAACTTCAATTCCATGATAGCAAATAGGGTGAGGGTCCTTACTTGATTCAACGCCGAAAACTAGATTGTTACTGCGCCTACGGGCGGTCCTTAGGTTCCCTAAATTTTTTATCGAAAACTGAAACGCGCTTATGGTACCTACACATGTCCAAATAACCCAAAAATCAGACCCAGGACCTACTCAACCAATTTTAGAATTCCAGCACGGTGGCTCTACCGTGCTCCAGCGACGACGCCACTGCAGGCAGCGGCGATCTGCCTCGGGTTGGCTATTTTCAGCCGTTTTTAACCGAATTCAGCCAAACTTGCATCGGTTCTTGTGAGAAAACACACTTAGGGCCCTCGGTGAGCCGACAAAACATAAAAAATCGAAACTCACCGGCGGTGGGGCTCTCCGATGCGGTGACTCATTCGACTCACGTTGCAGTTGAATGTTTTACTCCGATCAACCTATAGAGGAGGAAACAGTGATCACAACGGTGGAAAAATCACATCGAACGGGAATCAGTAAGGGGCTCATCGGAAGCAAAAACTGAAACACCCCGCGGCAGCGCCGTTGAGCTTTGGCGGTATTTTTTGGCTAATTGGCCGGTTCTTTCACTCCGATTTGGCCATGGGTGGGTTTGGAATCAAATTCTGAGCAATTGGTAAAATTTTTACCTCGTTTGGCGGTCGAAAATTGCTCCGGTGTGGCGGCGGGTGGCGGCGGTCGGCTCCTCGACAGCTGGGCTGTCTTCTCTGGCGAGGGGCTCTAGCGACTAGGGTTAGGGTTTGGGTGTGGATGGGGTTATGTATACCCATTCGCTTTTGATTTGGGCCGTCCATTGCTTTTAATCTAGACCGTTCGATCGCGATTAAACAGGGAGTAAATATGGACCATTCGTCGCGATTCAATATGGGCTATCCGTGCGCGA